ATGAATATTGATACAAAGCATTAACTAGAAACGTATCACTTAAGCAACTATCAGTTCACCATTTCTATAGAAATAAATAGTTGATTTTCAAAGGTGTCTAAGGGACTTAGGTGTTTAGCTTCCATTGAATTGCAACAGAACTCTGGCATTCCACTTCTTCAAATCCCAGACTAACTTTTTGGAGATTCTGAAATTTAGGCTTATTTCCAAGACAGTTCTAATGTCAACCAAATATTGTTCTCATATCAAGCAAGGCATGGTAGTTATTTACAGAGTGGGGGAATCAAAGCTCTTGATTCTACCTAACCAGTCAGCAGCACACGTTTCTTGTAAAGGCATCGCTGGCAGTCATTTCTTCATCAGAACCCTCTGAAACTCTTCCATTTGGATAACTGAAAATATTAAGACTGAAGACCAACCTGACAGGGTCGACCCCAGCCCCCCCCCCCCGGCCCAACTAATTTCTCTCCTCAATTAACTTTCCAAAGTGATAACCACTATAGCTTAAGGGCTCAAAAGAAGGATCAAAAGGCTAGTTTAATACAGCTGGAGGAAAAGAATGCATTTTGGCTCACCAGCAACCATCTGATGAAACCCTGAGCCAGGCTTTTATGTAAATGCCCGTTAATTAGAATTACCAGATTACACTGCTAAAGGCTTTATTTAAATAATCAGTTTATCAACAGAATAAACTCTGTTCACATTCTTGGGGAATGCTGTTATAAAGGAGTTTCTGGTTTACATCATGATGACAAACACACTCATGTGGTTAAGGCATTTAACAACAATTCAGAAATTTACATTGTGCATCCACACAAAATATTGTAAGACAATCCATAAATGCATTTTGAAGATTAAGTTACTTCCCTATCATTAAGGAAGCATTATAACTGAAAGTTTTCCCTCATTTTTTCATCACCTTGCAACTCTGGAGCACTTCATAGGATATCAGCAATACAAGGTTTTTCAAACTATACAGTTTCAATTTCAGCTATTGCTGACATTGTACCTCGGCTGAATGTACACTGCTGCCTTCATTTATTGGTATATTCATTCATAGAAGACACCTAATAATCATTTTCTTGAATACTGTATTAAACAAAAAAAAATCAGGAAGTTCAACTTAATTGCTCAGAGAAATACTGTCCATTTTTATAACCTCAAATCAAATTATATGAGCGTTAAATATTTTCTAATGACTAGTAATAACTTATATGTTTCTCATACCATTCCCAGCTTTCACTCCAGTGTTTTGTTATTGGGTATGCTTTCTCAAAAGAGAGCCACCCACATTCAAAAAGAAAATCTGATCTGTTTAAAACATAGTAACTTTTGTTTATTCAGACATTGAAGATAGCATTGCCACTGTACAACTCACCAGCTTCATTTTTTTTAAAACTTCAAAGAAAAGTTGTAGAGCAAGTAAATTAAGATCTTTACATCTCAACAAATTTGTCTTTGTTTATAGAGTGCTTTCTCTCAGATGCAGAATAGTCAATAGCTGAGAATTTGCAGAAAGAATGTCTTGGTGTATATGTAATGAAGTTTCCAGGAAAGCTATGGAACTAAAAAATAAATTGTCATTGACAATCCTGCAAACATATTCACTCGTCTCCTTTCTCCCCACTCTAAGCTTCATTCAAATAAGAAGTTTATTTATCTGTTTGTCAACAAATTCCTTGAATTTGTTTTATTCAAAATGTGACAGTTTTCTAATATATAAATACATCTGTTTTAGAACTATAAACAAGAAGTAAAGGTCTTTCAAGATCTTATCCACACTACAACTAATAACGTTCAGAACCCAGTTAAAAAACAAACAGTTTTAAAATCAATTTCAGCTAGCACATTTTGTCATTAGTACAGGCAGGACATAATGGTTGTCACAAACTGGTTTAACTATATTATACACGGTCTTCACTGAGGGGCAAACAATGCTAAGCTGAAGTAATCTTTTAAAAATGTTTTTTAGAAATGGTTTTTCAACAGCCTTTTTTTAATTAATTCAGAAGGAATGCATGCCACAATATGACGTCTTAAACCAATTTTCTAAAATAATCAATTGTAACCATAAAGGTACTGGTCAAAGCCCTGTATGGCTGTTAAGTTCTTTTATACAGTTCATGTTCTGGCACTTAAACAAGTTGCGAAGATAAGTGAATTTTACCTATGTTTCTCCACTCAGTTTGACAATGCCAAGAACATGTTCTCTAAATGGTAAGAAAAAAAACTCACCATCTGTCTTAAGTTTTGAAATATGCAAAATACTCTTTAAAAGAGTTGTAACTTTAATTGCTTAACTCAAGTTATACAATTGCACATCCATATGCTAACAAGGCTTTACTCATGAAAAATGTTAATTAAATGATGCACGTTTTTATAGGTTACCACAGTAACAAACTACATAAAGAGCTTATTTCTCTAAACATGCCAAAGCCACCAATAATGCAATCCTATTTAAATATTCTTAGTATTTCACCCAATATGAAATATTCAAAAACAATTGTCACTTTCCTTATTCTGTTTTTGTAGAAAATGCAATGAAAACAATAAAAATATTGTACCTCAAGGAATTAATCAAGCTAAGTGATATCAATCTTTATTAGGAAATAAAATATTCAGATTCTCAACATTTTCAATATTGTTTACTGATATTTTTCAGTTTACAAAGTGACAAGTCAATCTCCTCCTCCTCCCACTCCTGCTGTGGGATTTAGAAAGACTGAAGGTCAAGCAATGTCTCAATACTATGCCAGCATTTCACATTTTATTGCAAGAAAAAAATGTAATAGATTGTTATATCATCCATTCAAAACACTTCTAATATGGTAAGCTCACTAGCTGTAGCTGCAATTAAGAAGACTACTACACTTAAATAAGCAATTCTGATCCTTAAATAAAACAATTAAACTATTTTAGTGGTCTGTAATAAACCAAGTTATTCAAAATGTGCATTGCTTAATGGCAAAAATTTGTTCATGGGAAAAACATTTTGAACACTGTTGTGCTACTGAGGATGCACACATACAGCAATAGACATTTCCCAAAACAGAATCACAAAGTTAACTCTAATTTGGAGAAAAGGGAAAATATTAAAGGTGTAATGTATATTTGACACAATCCAGTATTTCCTTAAGAGGAAGATTTGTTTTTAGCAGCTTTAAGAAGGGGTACTCTATTTAAAATCCCACTGCACTGTTTTAAAAACTTACTGTTATGAATAACACCTACATTACTATTACAAAAATAAGAGAAAACTCTTTTTTTAAATTATTTTCTTTATGCGTTTTACTGCATTCTGTGTCTGGTTAGTATCAACTGTTTCCTCTGTATAGTCAGCTTCTCTTATTTGTGTGGATCCTTCACAGACACAGGGAAGATATACTTTAAAAAAAAGAAAAAAAAAGTATTTGATTGCAAACCACAAAAATTGGTAGGGGAATTCAGATGCAGGTTTGGTAACTGCTACTTTTAACTGTTTTTTAAACTGAACAGATTTAAAGTTGATGTAGAAAGAATATTTTTAACAAGTCTTTCCTCAAAAAATGAATGTTGGAAATTGAACAATGTCCAAAACTGTGCCTTTGAAAGTCAAAAGGTGAACAGCACAGCCAGGAAGAAAAGGCATCCAACATGATAAAAAGAACAATTCGGTGCAGCCTAGAAATTCAGAAATGTCATCAGAGAAAATTTTGTACCAGGCCAGCTACAGGATATACAGAGGTACAGTGGAAGATAAGGTTAACAAAAACAAAAAAAAATACTTCAAGAGGGATAAAAACAATCAGAGAGCTTTGCCCAAAGTGAAATTGTGAAACATTCCAGCATTTATAAAATTATTTCCTCTTTTGCATTTTTAGTTAATATACATTACACTCCTACCCCTTCAGTATGGTTTAGAAACAGCTACATAAAACCAACTGATTTATTTTTGGAGGGAATTAATATTTAGACATTCTTCTTCATCAGAGAAGAAAGTCAGTAAACTTCACCCACATTTCTAAGAGTCACACTCTCTTTACCTCAAGCACTTACTATATTCCATGAACTTTACTGATTTGAGTTACCTCACCGAATTATCTTTAAAAAAGGTCACCAAGATTAGTATCTCTTGTTAAACTGCAGTTTGAGTTGTATTACAACTTGACAGCGATAACAGACCTCCTATAAAAGGAAATTTGTTGCAAAATAAGCCACAAGGAATTTTGCCATGCAAGAATTGAGTACACGTGCAGAAAGAGCCCATGATTTTCGCATTTGTTACTACAGGTTCCTTTGTCAGGTTTCACATAACAATATAAGGTTGCATTTGTATAGAGTTTATTGATTCACGGTTGAGCAAGAGGGAACACCACTGAACTCTACAGTTATAAAATATTCAAATACTATTTACACATGAGATTGATCACTGACATCTCAAGCTGGTTCTGGCCAGGGGAGGAAGTAGCAGAAGGAAGCATTCAAAAGAGAACTGGGAATGTGGTCCGGAGTCAAAATCACCATGATTAGTGCTCTTTAAAACCCAGCGCTGAATGACGGCTACAAAGGCAGAGGAAAGCGAGTGTAACTGACATAACAAGCCCGGCTCTGCGGGGCGGCGCCGGAGCCCCGCTCCCCTGAACACCTGGGAAAGTCACCGGGGACCCCCCCGGCCAGGGGACCCCCCCGGCCAGGCAACCCCCCCCCCCGCGCGCCTCGCCCCCGCTACTGCTCCCAGGCAGAGGCTGGGGGGCCGGGGGGGCTCTGTCCCGCCCCAGCGCCCCCCCCCGTCAAGTTCAAAAGTTCAACCCCCGCCCCCCCCAACAAAGGCCGCGGAGCCGGAGCCAGAACCTCCCCCCCCCGCGCGCGCGCCCCGGCCCGAGCTCGCCCCGCGGGCCCCGCCCTTGCCCGCCCCCCCGGGCTGGGGGCCCCGCTCGCAGCCTGCCCGGCCCACCCGCCCCTGGCCGGGCCCGCGGAGCGGCAGCCCCGGGACCCCGGCAGGGGGGCTCGGCGACACCCACCGTTGCGGGGCGACCGCTTGCCCCCGGCGGCGGCGCGCGGCTCCGGGTGCTCCCCGGGCTGCTCCAGCTCCATGGCGGAGGCCGGGGCTGGGGCGCGGCGGGGTCTCAGGGGCCCCGGCGGCCGCGCTCCCCCATCGCTCCCTCCGGGGCGCTCCTGTCAGCCAGCCCGGCAGCCGCAGGCAGCGCTGACTGGGGAGCCCGGCGGCGGAGCCCCGCCCCCAGCACGCACAGCCCCACTGCCCCGCGGCATGCCGGGACATGTAGTCCCCAGGCCTGCCGGGAGGCACCACCTGGGATCTGGGGACAGGGGGAAGAGAAAGACCAGCCACCCCCGCCCCCAAACCCTGCTTATGCGCCAGCCAAGCATGGGCCATGATGGGACTCAAGAGGCACCCTTTATCCCAAAGGGCCGCAGGGTCACCCCATGAGAGACACCAAAAAGCCTCTTTTGTGATTCTGAGCCTCAGGGACACCCCCCACGCTTGGAGCGCAATGGACTGTTCCAGGATGCCCTGCCTCAAGGGCAGAACCTGGGGACCCAGGTGCCTATAGACACAGAGTGGTCAGTTTGGATGAGCTATTACCAGCAGGAGAATGAGTTTGTGTGTGTATGGGGGTGGGGGGCGTGTGAGAAAACCTGGATTTGTGCTGGAAATGGCCCACCTTGATTATCATGCACATTGTAGGGAGAGTGATCACTTTGGATGAGCTATTAGCAGCAGGAGAGTGAGTTTGTGTGTGTGGTTTTTGGGAGGGGGGTGAGGGGGTGAGAGAACCTGGATTTGTGCAGGAAATGGCCCAACTTGATTATCATGCACATTGTGTAAAGAGTTGTCACTTTGGATGGGCTATCACCAGCAGGAGAGTGAATTTGGGGGGGGTGGAGGGTGAGAAAACCTGGATTTGTGCTGGAAATGGCCCAACCTGATGATCACTTTAGATAAGCTATTACCAGCAGGACAGTGGGGTGGGAGGAGGTATTGTTTCATATTCTCTGTGTGTATATAAAGTCTGCTGCAGTTTCCACGGTATGCATCCAATGAAGTGAGCTGTAGCTCACGAAAGCTCATGCTCAAATAAATTGGTTAGTCTCTAAGGTGCCACAAGTCCTCCTTTTCTTTTTATAGACACAGCTAGTGGCTCATAAATATGCAACAGAGTTTATGAATATGCACAGCCAGCTGGTAACTGTGCAATGGGGCTGATGCCCAGAGTCATCTTCACTGGGCATTTAGCATGTCTACAGCGTATTTTATTGCTGCATTGATCCAGTATCGGACCATACATAAGAGGAAGTTACAAGGAGGAAGGAGAAAAGTTGTTCTCTCTAACCTCTGAGAATGGGACAGGAGGGCTTAAATTACAGCAAGGGCAGTTTAGGTTGGACATTAGGAAATACTTCCTAACTGTCAGGCTGGTTAAGAACTGGAATAAATTGCCTTGGGAGGTTGTGGAATTCCATCATTGGAAATTTTTAAGAGCAGGTTAGACAAATACCTGTCAGGGATGGTCTCCATAATACTTAGTCTTGCCAAGAGTGCAGGAGACTAGACTAGAAAACCTACTGAGATACCTTCCAGTCCTACAGTTCTATGATTCTATGACACTGTGTCAGTTTTGGTGGGAGGTGGGCGCGAGAAGTCAGAGGCCAGGAACTATCTCCCATCATCCTCCTGAGAGTTGCCAGACGGAATTTTGTGAATTACCTAAATAAATTCTTCGTCTTTGTGTTAATCCCATGGAATGGGATCCCCTCTATGAGACCTCTCCCTCCAAAGGACTCCTCTGTTCAATGCCGTATCCCTCTTTACACCACATGCTAATGTCTTCCTTTATGACATCCCACCACTTCTTCTTGGCTCGCTCTCTGTCTTTTTCCTTCACTCTTAATTTGTTGAACTCTCTGACCCACACAGTTGTCAGGACTGCATTTTATGTGACCAAACCATCTGAGCCTGCACTCCCTCATTTTCTTGTTATAGGTATTACTTTGAGCATATCTCTCATGTGCTTATCCCTTCTGTGTTCTTTCTTGCTTATACCACTAATCCATCTCGACATTCTCATTTCTGTGAAATAGATCATTTGTTCATGTTTCTTCTTTGTTGCCACTAACGTACAGTGCCACACATTAAAACTGGATAGACCACTATTTTATAGCCTTTTCCTGGTAATCTTCCTGTCACATACTACACCACTTATCTCTCACCATTTGAGCCAAGTATTTATCCTACTCTAATTTTGTTCTCCATTTCCCCATTTTCCTGGATTCTGGAACTCAGAACCTTTAAACTTTGTATTGTTGGTATTGTCAGCCCATCTAGATTCATTATTGAATTTTGCATTATTGAAGTTGCATACCATAAACATTGTTCTTCCTCTGCTCATTTTGAACCCATGTCCCTGCAGCATATCTCTCCCCTTATCAAGATCTTCTAGACTATCTTTCTCCCCAGTGCATGGAATGGTATCGTCTGCAAACAGCATGTCCAAGGTGCCTCCTTCTGTATCTTCTTTGTGAGGGTATCCAGGATGAAGATATACAAGAAAGGGCTCAGTACTGATCTCTGATACACTCCTACCTCTACTGACAGTTTCTGTTTCACCACTAGAAGTTCTGACTATTGACATTGCACCTATGTACATGGCTTGAACGAGCCACACACAAACCTCTGGTACCATTTTCTCCCCCATACACCACCAGGTGACTTCTGTTGGAACTCAGTCAGGGCCTTTTACAGATCAATGAACACCATGTGAATATTTTTTCCTTTTTTCTCTAAATTTGTCCACTAGCTGCCTCAGTGCATCTATTATCAACCTTCCTGGCATGAAGCCATATTAATTAGCTAAATTAATTCATTAATCTAATATGGATGAACGTGTTTATTTACCACAAAGGCAGTATTGCTGACCCTTATTGCACTTTTTCTTTGCATGCTTGCCTTGCAGTCAGTTTTAAATAATAATATAAACATGTATATTAGACAATTAACTGCATCATCATCATGGCACATCCCAAAGAGAAGGGACCTTCCCCACAAACAGGCAAATTTGAATAGTTAAATTAACTACAGCTTGGCCCATAGGTTAATGTGGGATAGCAAATTTTTTGTTTTATAAGATGTAGGGCAATAGAAGTGTTTCCATACTTGTTTAAGATTCTGAAAACAGTTGCTTGTAAACAAATGAACATGCTTCTGCATTGTTTAAACACAGATAGTGCAGCAGAGACCTTGAAAGTGAAATGGATTATAAAACAAAACTGAAACGTACTTAGTTGATGTTACATTTTCATAACTTGAGTAGTGACAAAGGTAAACAAACAGCATAACAACTACAAGGGAAGTGGCTGTTTTGAAGTTATTACCTCTGAAGATCGAAGGTGTTATTACTAAGTAACATGAGTGAAAGAAGTTTCATTATTCACACTATAGGATTTTAAAACTGACCTTTCAATTAATGGGCCCAATCCTGCATACTTTATCGAGGCAAGGCTTCCATTGATTTCAGTGGAACTTTGCACAAGCAAAGAGTGTGGGGATTGATGGTTTTAACGTCAATAACTAACCTTGAACAATACTATAGCACAATTTGGTCAGCCTTCCCAACCCACAACCCAGGACACTGCCCCGCTCCGGTGGGGTCTAGGCCACAGAGGTATGAACAGCCAGGAGGTATGAACACAGGCCCATCTCACAGAAATGGCACATAGCAAGATGGTCCTGGAGTTCTGGTGCGTGATTGTTGCAGACTCAGTCCCCGTGTCATTCATGTTTTTACATGAGAAGGGCCTGATTCGGGTCAAAAGGATCATTGGGAGCTAGCTTTGAAAATAACAGATCTCACTCCCATAGAGATAATATGCGTGCAAGACATTTTCTTTAACCCACGCTAGAATACGGAGCATTGTCCTCCCTCTAGTGGCTGATCCACATCGGAGAATCAAAGTCCTTGTCTCTGCCAGTGAAGAGAATAAGAGCTCGTCTACACTTGAAATGCTACAGCCTCACCGCTGCATCTGCATTACTACAGTGCTTCAGCGTAGATGCTGCCTATGCTGGCGGAAGGGGTTCTCCAATCAGTATAGGTAATCCATCTCCTTGAGAGAGGGCAGTTAGGTCAATGGAAGAATTCTTTCTAGCACTGTCTGCACCAGGGGATTTTTCATACCCCTGAGTGATGTAGTTAATCCAATTTAATTTTCTAGTGTAGAACAGACCTTAATCTTTTAGCTCACGTATTATTATTTATTGAATATTGGTTTTTATTATTGTTATAGCAGTCATAGCTAATGGCCCCACCGTGCTAGTCATTGTACCCATAATAAAGAAAAACGGACCCTGTCACAAGAAATGATACCTTTGCACCCACAGAACCAGTGTACAGGCTCCACGGGACAGGCCAGAATCAGGGCCTCTTTGTACAATCTACATTTACACATCCCTGGGATCTGGGATTTAGTAGTAATGCCAATAACAACCAAACATATACATCAGTATAATCTATCTATCCCTCAGCTTTAGCTGCTCCCAGTTGCCTCCCTGTCCCAGCACATTGGCCTGGTCAAAGGGCTGGGATTCCATGGATTATGGGACTATGAAGCTAGTGCAGTTATAGGGCAGAATGATGCATGCTGCAGTCCAACTGTGGGACCTCTTTCTTTCATTTTGTGCCACCCATACAGTCCATGATCCTTCTTCCATCCTGCACCCATTACCTGGTCTAGCATCCTTATCTCACTGACTCTTGACAGATCTTCTTATTTCTCCTTGTGCTTGGTTCCACCTTCTCTAATAAAATGATCAAGCCTTGTTCCTGTGATTAATCATTCATCTTGAAACTTGGCCATCATAACCCATTTCACCTTCACCCTAATCTACACAGATTGTCAGACAGATATCATCTTCCTTTCCAAATGCAAACGGATGGACATCATACCAAATGGACATATTTATACCTGCCTCTGGAAATTTCCACTACATGCATCTGATGAAGTGGGTGTTCACCCACAAAAGCTTATGCTCCAATACGTCTGTTAGTCTATAAGGTGCCACAGGACTCTTTGCCACTTTTACAGATCCAGACTAACACGGCTACCCCTCTGATACTCTGCAAATAGAGTCATTCTCCATTATACCTTAGTTGCCTTTTCATTTTAGTTAGACTGTAATAGGCTGCGAGATGTCTAGGACATTCTTGTATTAAAGCTGCTATAC